GGCCAACCTGATACAAAATTGAATTATTTCAAATTATTGTTCATTAAAATGAAATTTCCATAATGACAATAACTTAACATGCATAAAATATGAAAATTTATTTAGCAAAACATAGTATGGTATGTGTGTAGGTATGTGTCTGCAGGAATGCTCACCTCATTAACTTGGATACTTTGGATCTTCACCATAGGTATTCAACTTAGTGATGTTTTACTGTAGCTAATTTTGAAATTTTCAATAAATAAATGGATAAAGTAAAAAAAAAATTGCTGTTAGCACCCACCATCGTATTTTAACTTATTGGGTTTATATATGCATACTCATTTCACTGTTCTTCTTCTGCAAAACAGCAGTGGGAATCAAATTTGATACATGAAAATAAACTGTTTTTAGACATTTTCCACTGGAAACAGAAGAAAATGTGATCTGAATCTGAATTAGGCTTAGAGTTCTTTGCAGCAAATGGCTGAATAGACTCTGGAATTCATGAATATTAAATACATTAAAATCAGCATATAAACAATGCAGAAACTGGATAATAATGCTGAAAGAAAAAAAAAGCAAAAGCTCCAGCAAAACAAAAAATATTTAATGATAAACATTTTCAATAGCTAAAGCTATCAAGAGCATCTGTTTATCAATAAATATTTTTTGTTTTTACTTGAGATTTTGGTTTTTTCATTTTTACTTTAACAAATTAAAATCATTTTGTTTTTACTGAGTTTATTTTTTATTATTATTTGATAAAATAAAACAAATGAAGCTATATGATACAAATGCTCTCAAACAACAAAATATTTTTTAACTTCCACATATGAAGTTTCAGAGGTTCTCTCTTAGTATTCCATTTTTGATTGCAAGATGGATGAAACAGTTGATGGGTCAGCTCTGGAAACCCAGGATTGAATCCAGGTGAGCATGTACCTCACAAATTTTTCAACGGAGGTTGGTTGGAAAAAATGCCCTCTTAGTACCTGCAAGATGGGAAGAGTTACAAATGAAAAAATATTCCATATTTAGGATGCAATTTGAAAAAATTTTAGACTTATAAATTCCCACTGTCATCCATCTGCCTTTCCTTAATCTCTAGAATGGAGTTAGATAGATGAAATCCAACATCAGATATAGAAAGCTTGGGGGCAGGAGGCCCCAATTAACTTCCGATGTAAACCAAGAGCCACATCATTTCAATTCAAAAATTTTCCCCTGTAAGGAGTCAGATAGATGATGGCATGACTCTGTTGCTAACAGGAAGATGCTTACATTATGTACAGGGGCAAGACACTACTAATTTGAAGTGGAGAGCATTTATTTTAAATTAAATAAATTTAAAAATATGATTAAAAATTGCAGCCCAGCATTGTGATGACATTACAATAAATAATTGGTTGCTCTGTTTTATTTTATAACCAGCTGTGAACCTGGTGTTGCCTAGGCAAAAAACAACAGCAAAGATTAAGATTATTAGATTATTTCATACTTCTAATCCTTCTAGTAGCCCAGGACACCCCCTAGTGGGCATTCTAGCAGCAGCAGTGTCATTCTGTGGTATAAATAATAAATTCCTATTACAAATAACAATAATATACTGAATTTCTCATGGCATACCATACTAAAACGTAGCCAAAAATGCATAAAACCACATCAAATAATAATATACTGAATTTATTGTTAATTTAAATAATAGCTAGGGACACCCCTAGTGGCCATTTTTGGCATACAGTGACAGAAAGAAAGAAACTGGATTTTCAACTTTATATAATAGATTACATTTACAATGAAGTGTATTAGAAAAATGACATTTTAACAGGTCTGTTTGATTGATTGAGTTAGTGCTTATTTTTATGTAAATTTTAGTCATTTGGAGTTTTTCATTGTAAAACTTAAGTATTGACATCAAATTGACATAAAAAATGTACACTTTCTCAATATTGAGATGGTATTTTGGCCAAGTGGATAAAACCACTGAATGTTGAACAGGTTGGAATTTCACCAATGAGCTGGCCACATGAAGTTTTGTCTAACATCTAAATAGTGGCCAATTTTTGAAAAAGTTCTCCTAGAAGACACTGCCTTGGCAGATTGTCCTTGTGTTGCATTGACTGTTGTATTCAATTAAAAAAATCTTCTAAACTGGATAATGGTAAGTGTTAAACTTTCAATGGTTGTTACAAAGATTTAGGGTATAAGGTGAGATAGTTTTTTCTTTAGGGTATATACTATTCCAAGTCATAAGCACAAAAGTATCATAATTAAAATAAAAAATTTGTGGTTTCAAAACTACATAAAGAAAAAATAATACAGCATTTTTGACATTTCATACTGTTATAGTAAATATGCATAACTAAAAACTATATATATATTAATACTTAGACATTTTATTTCTTTATTTCTACAGAAATGAAGCTAAATGGTGGACCAAAACAATACATGCCCCTTCCACAATCTCAAAGTGATGAAGATGAAAATTCTTTTCTGAAACAATCAAAACAGTTGTTAGAAACAGAAAAAAATGGAATAGCCAATGGTTGTACAAAAACTGTTGACAATAAAGAAACCAGCAATAATGAAGAAAAACAATCTATGTCAACATTGCGTAAAATATTTTTTGTCTTCTCCATATTTTTGTGTGTTTTTTTCATAATATTATTTATATGGATTATCCCTTGTCAATTGCCAATTTTACCAATTACTGCAGTAACAAAAGATTGGTCTTTAAAATTAAATGATATTGGTATGTTAACTATTTGAGGAAATTAAATCAAGCTTTAAAAAAAAAGAAATTTTACATACAAATTTTTAAATATTCTAAAGCATCTTTGTTTTTCAGATTTGGTCACGACTCTGTTATTAGCAAATAATCACTTATTACCACACCCAATTCTCATAATGGGATTTAAAAATCAACAAGATAATTTAACAGGACTTACAGCAATAGATAGTGTCACTGGACAGCAATTGTGGGTTAAATACCTTCATAACATACCTATATATGGCAAATTTGGAGATATAGATGCAAATGGTGATGGTATACCAGACTGTTTGATTTTAGGAGATGGTGGTTTATTATTTGTTATAAATGTTACAAATGGTAAGTTTGTCTATTATCAGTACTGTATTAAATATTTCTACAACTTATCTACATGGGTGTAGCCAGTTTTGTTATGGGGGCCTAGTAGAGGCCAACCTGATACAAAATTGAATTATTTCAAATTATTGTTCATTAAAATGAAATTTCCATAATGACAATAACTTAACATGCATAAAATATGAAACTTCCTTTAATCATACGTTCTCGTAACATTAATATCAAACTCTAGCAATGCCTTAAACAAAAATTAACCAATCAATTATTTTTTTTTACCATTCTTTAATCTAGATATAGACCAGGGGTGGCCAACAAGTTTTTTCTCCGGGCTGAATTGGAAAGAGAACTTTTTTCACTGCCCGAATGAGAGGTGGCCCTAGCAAGATTTTCAGGTGATGCGAGATCTTATTGTGGCGTCACTTCGCAGAGACTAAACTGTACATAGAGATTACAGATACACTTTTCACATTGATAAGTTTTTGTTTGTTTGTTTTTTTTTTTTAATCAGAATTTCTCAACTTTCCTATAACTTCACATTGTCAGGTTGTAGAGAATTATCGTGGATCCATTCAGGCAATTATTTGAAGTTCAGTCCAATATTCAGAGATTAATTGCGGGCTGCAGTACACTACGCCTAATTAAATTAGCTTCAACTTTCTATTTCTTTTTGCAAATCGGATCAACACTTTTTTGGCTGTGATTTTCTGGGGAGGGCACCAGGTTGACTGGGGGGCGTGCCCACTCATGCCTCTTCCTGGCTATGCCCATGCTTATCTAATTGTTAAAATCCACTGTTTATTGGAGATGTTTAGAATCAATTCCTAAGTACTTTCAGTCTTTTGGAACACTGGATAGAAATTACTAAAAAAACCTTTGGATAAATTGGGAAATCAATCACTTGTAAAAAGTTTGAACTGAACTGAACTGAAGAAACAGTTGCAAGTTTTGTTGATAATAGCCTGAAAGACTTGAGAGTACTTGAGAATTAAGGCAAGCATACTGAACATTGCAAATAAAACAAAAGACTGATAGCTAAATAATTAATAAAAATTTTTATGTCCAAATTGATATTTGTTTTAGGTCATGAATTATGGTACTTCCATGATCACACTAAGCTTGAAACACCACCTATTATTCTACCACCAGTTTTGTTTCCTTCCTGTGAAAATAAAGCAATTTCTGATCTGATTGGAATCATTTCCGACGAAGAACTTCAACCTTATTTTGTTAGCATTAACACTTCTACTGGGTGTCAAAAAAACAATCCATTACTAATTGCAGTATGTGATGGGAAGATGACTGCACTGAATGTATGGGAAAGTAACAACATGACATCATTAATTTTTCAGTGTAAAGATGAAATTGGAAATGGTATGTTTGACATTAACTAACAACTGAATTGTTTTAATTTGCAATTGAAAAATATTTTTTAACAGTTAATGTTTGGAGTTTATCTCGAGATATATATTGTCATTTGAATCAAACTGATGTTAATTGGAGAAAGTTATATAGGTAAATATTTTTTATATTGTTTATAAGTCAAATTTAAACATTTTTAATAGTCATTTTCTATTATCTTTATAGTTTAAAAAATGCAAAAAATGCCATCATTAAACCTATAGAGAAAAGTATTGTTATAGTGGATGATGGTAATGTGATACTGTTAAATGAGATTGACATAAAATGGAAATTATCTTATAACTTTACTAAAATAAGGTAAGAATATATTAATATATTCTGTCATTCTCATTCATAGGTTTTCAATGGAATAAATAATATATTTGATATTAATTTTCATAAACATTTTAGAGCCATATTTGATGGCTATTTCACATCTGAAAAATTAGAAATTGCACTGGTTATTCAAGATAATGATGGAAATTATATGGCAAGTATATTGTAGCAATTTTCTGTTTAATTTATATAAAATTTTATAAAGAATAATTAAATTTTTCAGTTAAATATAATAAATTATGAAAATAGTACCATAGTATGGTCTAAAGACTTTTCCAAGAGTGTTATTGTGTCTGCCAAAAAAGTTTCTAACATTTTGCCAAAGAGTGATGGCATTCTGTTAAAATTGAATTCTCCATCTACACTTCTGACTGAAAAGGTATAGCTTTAATTTTACATGGTCAAAAATAGTTAAGTTTTATCTTATTTATTAAATATATTTTCAGTTTGCTAACAGTACTGATCTACATTTTCCTAATACCACAACTGATGTCTTCACAAATATCAATATTCTGAATGAATCTTATGCTTTGTTAATGTGTTGGAAAAGTTTTACTTTTACACCATTATTTCAGAATACGATTTTGACCAGATGCGAGAGTAAGATTAATTTATAGGCCTATTTATTATCTTCATCTTTCTTTTATAAATCAGAGTAAAAAAAATTTTTTTTTTAGGTCAGTGTTGGCCAAATTTACATTTGTCTTACAACACAGGTAATTGGTTTATATAATTTCTGAAATCTAAAATACAATTTATTAATGGAATATTTAATTATTTTTATCAGGAATTATGGTACCAGAAAAGAATGGATTAATCCAAATTTTGACAGTTTCTTCAACATTAGTCCCTACCAATTTTTCATTTGCCTTTCGTATCACCCTGGATAGCACAACTTTCCAATTTCAGCCATGTTCAATGACATGAATGTTCAATTTTATATATTATTTGTTTTTAATAATTTCTATTGTTTCTCAGGATTAATTTATAACTGAAAACTAGTCAAATTAAAAGGATTTAAACAATTTTTGATGGAGTATTTATATGATAAGAAATAAACAAATTAATGGGGAATAGTTTTATTTTCATCTATCTATAAATATCTCCAAATGGTAGTCAAGAAAATTCTGTATGTACTAAACTGTTAACAAATTTAAATTAATTCATCTGCATATAATACACCTTGAGCTTTTCCAACAACAGCTATTGCAGGTTTGCTTCTCATTCCTTTGCTGGCAGCCTACAAGCAAAAAGGGAAATTTATTAAATGTTCAGAACATGTAACAAATCATTATACAACATACTTACGGTAGAAATGGTTTGTGCAGTGATTTTGTCGACAATGTTTTCAAACTCTGGGAGAGAAAGGAGTTTCTTAAAATTTCCTGCTTGGAATGCAAGTTCTTCCAAACATTCACTCTGATCATCTTGAGCAAAATTATATGATGCTTTCAATTTTTGTCTGGAAGTAAAAAGTTCTTTTAATTAAACATATATGAGAGAAATACTGAAACCTATATGCATTACTTTGCAATACGTAGTTCGTCTTCAGATGGTCCAGTCTTTATAGCATTTTTCACTTCACCGACAGTTGCTTTCAATATCTAAAATGAAATAATTTTATTAAAATGATAATCTTAATAAGTTTTAAAGCAAATATATATTTACATCATTAACATCTTTGCTTTCTGCTGCAACATAAATTCCAAAAAGACCATTATCTGAGTAGTTAAAATTAATACTGGAAATCTGAAATGAAAATTTAGTATTTCATTTTTAATATAAACAATAAAAAATAGTTTGATATAAATAAATTACCTGTGGGTTGTAATCATATTTTTTTGAGATTTTGCTGAATCTGGAAGCAGAACCCACACTATAAGAAATTGATGACGAATTTCCCAAAATTTGCTGGAGTAAAGCCAAACTAAGAACTTCTTCTGGCTTTTGTGCACTTCAGAAAAATATAGTAATTAATTATTTTTGATAAAGTCTTCCTTTAAAGTAAAAAAAAATTACCTAACTCCTTCCATCAAAACAGCAGCGTAAGTTAAAGGGGTATCCATCCCAACACGTACATCACCTTTATAATATACAAAATGATTTATCTGTGTTTAATTTTTAAACATTATCTACCAGATAGTGAATATGTTTTAATAGTTTAATATTTACCAGAGAAAAATCTTGAAGGAGCAATATCAGAGCCTTTAGCATCCGAAACGTCAAAATTTTGTGAATAATGTAAGAGTTGTTCATGATCGATGCCTGTTCCAACAACAGTCACGCGATCCGATGAAAAACAACTGTTCACATATTCATGCAACTGAAAATATCATCATATTACCAATAAGTTTGCAATGCAATCACATCACTATTATACATTAGGCCACAAAAGTATCTGAACACGTATAAAATGCAAGAGTTTTTTAATTACAACTCGTTTCTCACACGAAATAGCGAAAAGTAATGACAGATATAAATACTTTTTAGTATAAAAAAGTCTGAAGATTTCACATGAGAAATAAACAAAATATATTTAAAACTGAAAATTTTCACAACACAAAAGTATCTGGAGGAAATAAATGATAAATCATTTGCTTAAAAACATTTCTAACACTATTCACAACAAGTGAGTTTAACTATTTGTTTTATTTCCTGTTTTGTGCAAGTGCACTTTTCCTATAGATGAACTTATCAAACTGGACAGCCATGGGACAGAATGACCTTGAGACACAATTTTCTTCTACATCAATATTTATTATGATATGCATTTTTTACCTAACTGGTCCCTCCTCAGTCACAATACGTATTTGTTTTATACTTGAATTATTTTATTTTGTCATTGGTTAATTTTTTATATTTTCATTGGTCACATTGTTATTAAAGGTCTTATTATTAAGGAATGGCAAAAGGAGAAATCTGTGCAAAAAGTTGCAAAATAGTTTCACATTCCAATAAACCATTAAAGTTTGCAAATGAGTTTTAACATTTTGAAAATCATTCATTTTGTATAGTCTGAATTTGGATTGTTTGATTCAAATGATTGCCAAAAATTGTGGAGAAAAGGTGAAGAATCTTTAAATGAAAAACCTGATCCCTACAGTAAAATGTGCAGATGGTTTATTGCTATTTGGGGTTGTATGTCTGCAAATATTGCTGGAACTCTGCAATTTGTTGATGGAATAATGAATCAATATGTGTATAAACAGATTTTAAATAAATGTTCAGAAACCAGTAAGAAAATTAAAGTTAGTGTAAGGACTTGTTTTTCAGCATGACAACATATGAAACACACTGAATACCAATCAGTTTCTTGATGTGTACTATATAAAACTGCTTCCTTGGCTGCTACAATCACTCAATCTTAATGCAATTGAGCATTTATGGGATCACATTGAATGATCAATTAGAACAGATTCAATAACAAACAAAACTGATATTAAAAACATCACCATCAGAGTTTTTAATTAAATAGACAAAACTGTTATAAAACTTTTGATGAATTAATACCTAGTTGTTTAGAAGCTGTTATCGGCAAAAGGCAGCCCAACTCGTTAATAAATGTATAAAATATTTTTAAGATTATTTATTTCTTCTGTCTGGATACTTTTGCGATGTGAAAATTTTTATACAGTTTTAAATAAAATTATACTTCTCTTTTTGTACATGTACATATTTTTTTCTAGTGTAAAAAAAGTCAGAAGAAAAGTAACAATAAATGTAAAATTTTCAATATGTCATGTGAAAAATGAGTTATAACTAAAAAACTCTTCCCATTTTATAGGTGTCCAGATACTTTTGTGATCTCTAGTGTATATACTAGTGATGTAACGAATATTCGGTTACTATTCGGTATTCGGCCGAATACCGAATATTTAATCACTATTTGGCCGAATACCGAATAGCTAAAAACAGGAGTAATAAACAACAAAAACACAGTAAATTAATCATTTTGGTATTTAGATTTAATGTTATCGAGTTAGTGTTGTTTGTTTATATTTATTTATAACTTGTAACATGCACAAAATAAAAAAGAAAATAATAATAGTCACATGTATTCACAATTTATAATTACAAAGATCAGCACACGTACATGTCTATCATTGGAGAATCCTCGCACATCTGAGGGTCTGACCCTGCCTATCCTTCTTTTTAAGTGCTCGTCTTTGCTCTTCCCTTTCTCTTTCCTCCATTGCTCTAATCCATGTATTCTTGTGCATACATCATAATACGCTCACGATACTTTCGATTCGTCACTTTTCCGTCGTAGAGTTCCCATTTTACAATTACGTGACTCAGCCTGGTGATAACGGAGAAAAGAGACAGATAGGACGTCGATATAAGTCACAGTTATGATTTCACAGATTCGAGACAGCTTGATAGCC